TGTGTGTGTGTGTGTGTGTGATTTATCATCCCCCTAACAAGTTTGAACTTCTCTTTTCAGTAACATTTGCAGAAAATGACTTACATAGCTGCCTTCTGTCAAATAAAGCACATAAGCCTAGGTATTTTGTGACCTATTTTCCAAGATTTACTTCTTCAATAAGAACAAATGGTTCTGAGGACCGCAGGCATTAAGACAGTGTTGGCAATGCTCTTCATTAAAAAAAGACTAAAATTTAAAGTGGTAACAGCATCAACATATAACTAGCATTATATTACATTACACAATTTACAATAAGAAAACACATTAACCCTAAAATTACAGCCGCGACTAAAGGCCCAATATTGTTTCATATGTTAATTTCTCAAGAGCTGCAAAACTGGTGCAGTCTTATTAGTTTCAGCACCGAACACACATTTTTTTTTCTGATGCAACCAACAAGATTAGATCATTAGTCAGTCATGAGAGTATGGCAGCGCTTGTTAATTACTGTTTTATCACACACATACACATACTGATCTGCCTGGTGTGAGCATAATTATAAAAAGGTGAAGTCTAATTGAATTCAAAAAGCTCATACAAAGTGATCTGAGCACAAAGTGCCTTAAGCTGTGTAACTGTGGACTGCTGAGTATTATAATTTAATATTGAATGAGAATGATGAGACAAAGTAAAATGGAAAGCCACCAAGCTGTCTTAAAATTCTTCATTCTTGGAAAAACAAAGAAGCTACACCAAGTTAAGAGTGACCATGCAGTGGCGGTCTCATTTCGACTGCCACCTGTATGCACTACACCCTACGGGTTTCCCTCATTCTTCATCCTTTGTTATGAACAAGACACTTCATTACATCTAAGGATAATTCACCACTGCCTAATTTTTCCCCTCTGGTTCACTTCAGTTACCAGAGTATTTTATAACCTCTTTACTTCTTCCTATTAATACTTAAAGAGAAGCTGCCCGGAGCTGCCTGTCCTTTATCCTAACAATAAAAATGGTATATACGGTCCTGAAGTCCAAACCAGAGTAAAAGAACTCATTTCTAGCAGCATCCGCCAAAGCTTCAGTGCAGAACGAGCTTAATATGTAATTTGCCCATTGAAACTACACGCTGGTTTAATGAAAACCTCGAATAAAGTTCAGGGGCTTTATGGGAATTCTACAGCATCTCGTCTTAGTGGCCATTCTGAAAATTGCTGAAATCTAGACAAACCTACAGCTGTTACAGGTACTGCTCCCAACTTTTATACTGCCTGAAACAAATAATGCTTTATGTCGTCTTCTGAAAAAAGGTTTAAAAATTAGAGAAAACTAATCAGCAGTGATGTTGATAAAATCAAAGACACTGATAAATGAGACGGTTTCATCAGTTCACTGACTTAAATGGAATATATTATGCAACACATCTTACATATACCACAGAAACAGTTTTACAATACATAAAATATGCAATAAATGCACAACGATATCTATGAAATTACACATTTTTCCTAGTCTATGATTGGTTAAGTATACAAAACAGTGTCTAGGGTGCTGGATTTTTCCATTTTGGTTTACACTACTTTCTTTATGGAGCATAACTTGCCTCTCAGGCACCTGATAAACAAATATATTTATAGATCTCCGTATATATTGTTTGTTAGACATCTTATTGAAAAACAGCAGAACGACTTCTGCTGAAAGAAGAGATACAGAGCAAATCAAAAACACATGACCACAAGTTTGCAAGCTAACATAAAGACACTGCATGTCAAAAATGCAGGGCCAGATGTTTCATTATGCATCTGCAGTCCATTGCCTGCCTCAATTTAAACTACCAGTGGATTACAAATAAAACAACAATGCAAAGGCTAGTCTGTGGCGTGCACATTTAAAGCTATAAGTACTATAGTTTAAAACAAACATCTTAACTTAAAGGCCACTTGCTAGCCTTTTCTGGACATTTTAAAACATTTAATAATAAGACAGTAAAATGTATTGGACAGCACTGCTTCTTCACAGGGAACTTGACTTGTCATAGCAAGAACAGCTCAGGTGTTACTAATAGCAGCAACGAGGTTCACTCCATTTAACCATCAAAGTAAGCCACTGAAGTCACTAAGGAGAGTACAGCTGTCATTTATGTTATCAGTGACAGCTGTTTGTTTGCTGCTTTGAGAGAGGAAGAAGTCCATTTCTAGTCTGAGCAACAACAATCAACACGAATATAGTTTTAGCACCAAATGTGTTCACGAATGATCAAAATCAGGGTCTTAAATAATAATTTAATTCAAACTGGCTGAGCAGGCTGTGATGATGCTTTGTGAGAATGGGGTAATTAGGTCTCACAAGTAACTGGACTACAGCCATTTACAATAATATGGACTTGCACTGCTTTATACTTCTACTGTCATTCGTGCATTTTGAAAATTAGCCCTTAAAATGAATAAGTTCTGATAAAAGCTGGGATTTTCAAAAAAAGGTTTCTACACTCTTGCATGAGTAGATGCTGGGATCAAGTCAGTGTCTTGTTACATTTCTGTAAAAGACTCGTGTGAGTCACTGAATAGACTGAATGAGTGAATCACGTTTTGAAGCATTATCTCCTGCAGCGCGATGGGCTCCCTCTCACACACTCAGGGGGAAGTTACTGCATGAATATTCATGGTAGAATACCGTTATTGATATGCATATGAGGCGAGATTAAAAAAGAAAGAACGGGGGGGAAAGTCAGCTAATAGAAAACTGCAGCTGTCCAATTGAGAAACTCCGCGCAATTTAAGTGATTACGGTAATCATACTCATCAACAACTGGATCACTGAAATATTTTTAAAAACACAGCCGCAGTCAGCCAAACTACAGGTCATATCTAACCCACAGGCATTAGCTAATGATATGTTAGTGAGAGATGCTGCTTTCAGTCAGTGTTTGAAAACTTCACCCTCCGGAGATTAGCGGTACACATCAATGGGCAGTTAAGGTAAACGACTGCGCCTTTCTAATCGATTACTCGCGTCACGTTGGCGAACATCTATAATACAGTTTAAAAAAGAAAGAAATACTAGCAGTGACATAAACACGCTCATATTTCATGGTAAAAGAAGACCAATGCGCAGTGAAGACACTGTTCTACGCGTGCGGTGCTCCGAGGCAGTGTGGAAATTTAAAATCACAATGACAGTCATCCAAAACATAAAGAAGACGGCTTACCATGTTTCGGCTTAAGAAGTACTCAACAAAAATCCTTCCAGTGCCCGGAAAGGAGCCTCCAATGCCGGCTGTCAGTGCAGCTACAGCCTCCTCCTCCTCGCGCGGGCACATCAGCACTGCTGCCCCGATCTCTTTAACCAGTCACAGCAAGGCACAGCAACACTCCACCCGGACCGTAGCCTGGCTCCACCGCGAGATAACTGCCCCCTTTCTGTCTCTCTCTCTAGTCATGACGTGTGAACCAGGTAATCTTATTACAAGAGGTCATGAAAGGTGAGACCGGCTAAAGCTCCGTTGCCCCTCCTCCCACCATATTTACTGGATATGCACCTGGCCAGCTTGGGTCAGTACTCTCTGAAAAAGACTCCTCTTCAACAGGATGATAAAGGATGATGCGGAAAAACCTAACTAATTAACAAGCAACAGCAACAAAAAAAAAGTCACCTTAGCTTCTCATTAAGGTCAAACTAATCCATAACTTATTACACTGTGAAATGCACAGCCATTCTCTCACATAGCTAACCTGCACTTTCTGAAGGTCAACAAAAGCCATTTACTGTCAGCTGTCGATTATTTCTGAGCGAAATCTATTATTCTGCTCTGTCTGCAACAATTGGTGCTGAGAAATGACACCACTGACTGGAGGTAGTCAGCTATGATTCACCTGTCACTTTGCAACAATCACTGGACTTTTCTTCCCTACAGCTTAACCAACAACAAAAAAGCCTTCCATCAATATACTCTAATTAGCTACTGTGCCGAATAAGTCACAACTAAAGGTTGCACAGATATTCAATAAAACAGTTTCTACACAAGAGACACTGCTGTGGAGTGGGGCGGGGGTCTTGTTCGCAAAGATAATGTCAACAAATTTTAGACAATTCTTCTAAAAATGTGAAATTATCTTTCTCAGACAGCAGATGTAATTTGGTGAGAACAGCTTGTCTCCATTTAGCAGGCGCAGAGAGGCACAATAGAGTCATAACAAAGTCAAATTACATGACAGAAACGAGTATCACAACCATCTAATTAATGGAAATTAAATTTAATACTTTTTAGTCCATGCATGATCACAGTCAAGACAGATGCTCTAAACATTTGAACAGACTGATGAAAATAGTGGACCCTCTTACCTCACAGTCCCATCCATGAGAGAAATAAAAAAAAGATCAAACCTACACCTGGACACCTGCATCATGTTATCCACTAAAAAAGTGTTGCCACAGTTTTGAAACATCACCAGTATTGTCAGTGAAATTATGTGAAAAATAGGGTTTTAAGAGCTTCCACGTTATGAGTTTTACAGAACAGAAAGCATATGTATGCTTGACCTGTGGGAACGGAAAAAAAAACCCCTCAGCAAACAGGCTCATTTACTAGCATTTTGAAATTGAAACAACTTTAAACTGCATCCTTAATAAATAAATGGAATCAGATGTTCTTCAACCATTTACAATCACAAGCCTCATTATAATGTTTCTCCTGTAATTTTGTTTGAAACTCATAACAACTACCTTTTCAAAAGAATGCAGCTTCAATTCTGCGTTTCATGTTTTCTGATTTTAATCTAAAAGACCCATTTTTAAGTGGCACATCAGACCCATTATTAGCATTTAAGATGTGATAAGATTATTACACATGTAGTCAGTTTTTGAAATTCAAAACAGAGTTTAAAAAGCTCCAGCTGGCATGTTTCAGTATCAGCATGAAGAGATAATTTGAGTTAAGTCATGACTACCAGCACTCGGAAAATGGACTAAAGTTATGTAGCGCTTTTCTACTCAGTTTGGGCACTCTAAGCGCTTTCTTACTACATGCCTGCATCAGGGGCAACTCAGGGTTCAGCATCTTGCCCAAGGACACTTTGATATATAGACTAAGAGTGGGGCCAAGGATCTAAACCACAGACCTTCCTATTAGCAGAGGACCTACTTTAGCTCTTGAGCCACAGCCACCTAAAGAAAAGCTTTGAGCAAAAGCTGTTATAATCAGGGCCTGCCACAATAACTCCCCTTCTATCTTTTCTTTGTTGCACCAAAGAAAACGAGGGGGCAGAGTTCGGGCAGGACTGTAGACACTCCTCAGAGAAGGATGATTAAGGAATATTCTGCTCTTGGGAAATGCTCTCGTCTCAGCACCCCAGTGAAGCTTTCTTAGTGAGAAATCCCCAAACTGACATCATACATATCCAGGTTTGTGTGGTTGTGTGTGTTGTATGTATCATAAATGTGTATGTTTAAATGGTTATAGTATGTCAGATAATGAGTAAATATCATGCTAAGAATGTTTTTATATCTATCTGAGTTGGACAAGTAATAATAGTTCCAAAGGTTTCACCATTTGAAACCAATTATGCAGTCCCCCCCCCAAAAAAAGTAAATATATAAATAAATAAATAAATAAATAAATAAATAACCAACCAGGAGCAGTTGAGTTGACTTTGAGGTGTCATGTATTCTTCTGGGAATGCTCAGAGTTGTATCAATGTTTGTGGCTTTTGCCTGTATAGCCGGGGAAGCCTGAGGGTTCCTTTATGAATGGTGCACACTGCTTATTTGTATTCAGTTGAAGTTTCAATCACTAAGCAGGCAAGCCTTCTACAGGGTAATTCCTTTTAGTGATGTTGCATTAATACAACACCTTTAGTCATTTCTTTCAAGATGAAGAAACTGATTTTGCCAAGCAGATATAGACTGCATAAAGTGACAGACAGCGGCGCTTTAATTATTCTCATTGAATGCCTTCTTTTCTCACATAGAGGAGATGCAAGAAAATGCTCACTCATTCTTTTTTTCCCCCCCTTGTTTTGGGTTGAAGGTGCATTGTTTCCATACTAAATTTTGCCAACATATTAAAATGGATGTTTCCAGACTTGGATAGTTGGTGGGCAAACAATTACCCAAACACCATCTGCAGGATTATTCAGCACTATCAATTTTGATATTCAAACAGCCATTCGGTTAACATGGAAACATGGAAAGTGCAAGAACTGATGCTTCCTTCGCATTGAGGAGTCAGCTGGTGGGGTGTGTACTTCTTTTCAGGTTATTGAATCACTTGCACAATAAATCATTTAGATAGCAGGCTCAGTGAGTGTGGTCATACTCAAATAAGCAGAAAATGAACACTATTCCTTGGAAGCCCTCTCTCAAAAATCTGTTTGATATTGCCTTACTTATTTAAGTCGTGCTCTTATAGCATTTTCTGAATAATCTTGTTAAATAAGCAGCTCCAGTAATGCTATGCACCTTGTAAAAGACAAGAGCATGAAGATACGGGCAGTAGAACAATTCAAGTTTCATCTCGAGTTTTTCTTTTTTTCTTTTTTTGTAAACTTGGGACAAATTGAGCAATTCTTCTTGGTAAAGCATCATTTCCCTGGTCTGTGCGTATGCACTCAGCTGTTCAGTCCCTAAATCCTCTGCCTGTGAGCTCCCTTTAGGCAATCCCGTGGTTTTTTTTTTACATGTGCATAGATGTGCACGTGCATCTACAATTCCAGACAGAAACTCCCAAGTGTAAAACAACTGAGGAGCTCAAAATCTTAGTTCTGCATTTTAACAGCAAGTTCACATAAGCAGTGTACATGTTGTTGATTTTAGAGGCTGATGTTACGACTACAATGAGATTGCCAATAAATGAATATTTTCACTTCTTCTTATTTGTAGTGCCTGTACTGCACCAAGTTCCACAGGTGAAAACGATGAGAAGCCTGTGGTGATGTGTGAAACCATGCGTGAAGAAAGTCTAGGGTATGATAGGGATGGCTTGCTTTTTGAGCACAGGACGGAACACTGACAAATTCTGTCTCTTCCTCTCTCAGTACATTTTCTGGAGCTATGTGAACTGGACTTTATAATGCAGTTCCCAAAAGAGCATCAACCTGCATTTACTAAGCCGCCACCCACACAACTTCAGACACTTTTTTTTTTCCTTGAAACTTTTTAAGCTATAACTTTGGGACTTTTCTCTGCACAAGGCCTTCAACCGTGAGTGAGAAGAGTCCTATGCTAACAAGTATTTAGGAAAAAAAAAATAGCACAGTTGAATTTTGAATTAGTGTGCAAGGTTGTCAGCTACACTGTAGAACCACTGTAGTTGAATCATTGTGAAATTGCTGGCGCTGTCCATGGTGCTGAAAGAAAGCCTTTAACTATAAGTGTAAAGGAACAAAGCACTTCCACTGTTGAGCTTTCTGCAAACACCTTCATGAGCACATGAATTCAATTGTGAATAGTTTATTATTATGACATAAGCTTTTACAGTTAAGGAAGAATTACAGTACAGTTACAGAATCCATTTAGCAAGTTCTTACTTATACTTGCCAGTCAGCTGAAAGGATCGTGGGTAGTTAGTACAGATAGCAGAGATTGCTACAAGATGGAAAAACAAACAAACAAACAAAACAGACAAAGGCACAAACTGGCAAACTCACATAATTCAGCTTTGGGCACTTGTTACTATTACTTCTACTCTGGCTTATTTGGACTGCAGGGTTTACACTAGCTGCCACCCAGCCCTCTATAAAAACTGAAATTGGCTGTGTGCAAATGGAAACGCTGAAGGGTGTCTGAGTCAAATAAGTGTCGAGGGACATTCATAGTTTGGCACTGACAGCTTGTGTGATATTGAGAGGTCAGAGCAACTGAGACAGCAGACAAGAAAGAGGGAGGGAGCCACAGGGAGATTGGGAGGTCAGAGAAAGCCAACAGGACATTCTCTCTCTCTCTCTCAGTGTGTGTGTGTGTCTGTGTGTATAAAATAAAGAATACCAAGAGGGTGGGTCAAAAAGCAAGTGAACAAGAAAGAAAGAAAGAAACATTATGAGCAAGTGAAAGCAGAAGAGCATGAATATAAATAATACTGCCAAATCTAATACACAAATAATGAAGTGAGGCCAATACTGACACCTCAACTATCTGAAAAAATGTAATTGCTGTTTCTTTTTTTCTTTTTTTCTTATTAAGTATATCATTCAGATGTGATTTTAATCAAATTATAAGAGGGGGGGTCGAGCTCAGAGCAAGACAACTGACTCATCAGTGCGGCACAGAATATCCACAGGCTTAACTCTGCACAGGGGGTGGATTTAAAAATAACTGTCACTACTGTGTTCAAAATACCACAGTGGGGCATCTCCTTGCTCTTCACTAAGGTGGGAAATATGCTAAGTCTAAGAATGTAAATTCAAGCTCAAAGTCTGATAAAAAAATTTCCCATTAAACATTTATATGAATTTCCAATAAGTAAATACACTAAAACACATCCACAGTTAGAAGTTCTGAACATACCTGGAATCAGGTTACATTTTGTTGCCTTTTTTCTGAAACAGCTCAGAAATACTTCTTTCCATTCCAAGAAATAATTGTTGGTGTAAAAAAGGCTTTTAGCTGCCTACACT